AAATGCATCCAATGTGTTCTCTCGCCCAGGATGAGGCGAGGAGTGTCAGACTCTTACTGAAGTTGACATTGATAGTGTACTCTTACTATATCCACGGCAAGAGTAAGGTTAGGAAAAATGCATCCTCCTCTGCCTCAATAAGTTAATAGTAACTTGATCAGACATCGAAACCGGCCTTTTAAAATAATAATGATTCGAATGTGTCAAATTGTTTCTTTACCTTGTTGGAATTTTAATTTGGACGTATTTTTGTTCTCAAATAATAGTAAATTGTTTACGTTTTTTTCTTCGCTAGTAAAATCTATTACTTGCTATAGCTACACCAAACATAACTCAAAAACGGCTGGACCGATTTTCATTTATTTTGATAACTTTTAATAACTTCATATCATTATATTTCTCTAATTCTAAATACATTTACAAATGGAAATTGTCATTTAAATCTGTATTCTATTATACTTACTGCCGTACTCAAAGACATAATGAATACTTAAACTATTCCTTAGTAACGTCATCAACATCATTATTATCAGCCGCAAACAGTCCACTGCTGGACAAAGGTCTCCCCCTTAGTTATCCACACCGAACATAGTCGCCACTCGTTTCCGTTGCCTCCCCGCCGCAACTCTTCAGTCTACCTAGTAGGAGGTCTGGCCATCTTCTTGACTAAATCAATACCACTCACAGAAAACCAGCGTTAAACAACCACAGCGTTGTTTCGCTTTGAGAATTAGGCTACCAGAGACACTATGCTACAATTCCAAAAAAGCAAGTCTCTTGTATTTTCCCTCTGAAGTTCCGGGCATCCATAATTGGGTAGTTTCCTAGGTCAAAAATAAATTAATTCGACGTTTCAATACAATATAATATTGAAAAATGACTATACTTTTATTCATCGATCTGTGGATACACAAAATTTTAGATATTTATTCGCTAATTTTTAAGAAATAAGTAAGCTATTTAACGCTAAAATACCATGGCGTCATAACTCAGAATTTCATACAAATTTCATAGAAAAGTATGGTTTTTGACATTTGGATAAGAGTATTGAATTTGACTAGTTGGAAACTACCGTATTGCTTACCATCGGGTAATTTGTGTGTTAGTTTTGCCTTTTTTTTCATAAAAAAATATATTTTTTTCTAGCCTTAATACTGCTCTCCACTTCTAAAAATCTGATCCGGTCAATTTAGACCAAAAAATTATGTCCGGTCAATTTAGACCAAAAAATGAGAGTGAAGTTACATAAAGTCCCAACAAGCTGAATTTCTGTGAAATTGTTCAGAACATAGTTATAAACAATGTCTAAAAGTTCCCCATCATTCCCCTGTAAGGAAAAATTTTATTGAAGGTCAAAGGTCAAAAAAATGAATTTTTCTCGATTTTCAGCAAAATGGTAAGTTTTTATGATAAAACTACCCCAGACAAAAATTGTAGTTTATAAAATTATCTAAAAAAAAGTGTTAACCCTATTTTCTTACGAGCCTCCGTTTCTGAGATATAACGATTCAAGAGTTGTAAAAGTTGTTATTGTTATAGTATGCATGAGTACGCCACGTATATATATCTAGAGTTGTTATATTTTATAATTATATGTTTATAAATGTTTAAACATTTTTCTATCGGTCATTGTAACTTATACTTACAATATAAAATATACATAAGTTTTAACAACATCTGCATTTTACAAGAGGGGTAAAACAGCAGTTTAAAAATGTTTGAAAAACAAGATTTAATTCAATGTGCTGAAGTTTTTAAAAAGAATAATTCAAATCAACAAGAAGTTATTATCAACGGCATCCGCTTTCTTCTTCCTATGTACGGAACTCCTAAAAAACTACCTGTTTAGATAAGCATTGATGCATGTTTCGTTAAAAATACTAAAAATAAAAAACAGGTTCAATAAGTTTGTCTTTCTCCAACGTCAGATGCTGCTCACTCACATCTTCTTCGAGTATATTACCAAGTTCAAGTGTGGCTTGGTTATCAGCTAGACCCTACAGATTGGATTGATTTCATTTTCATTCAATGAAGATAAAGAAGAAGTAGGAAAAGAAGAACAAGAAGAAGAACAAAAATTTTAAACTTACGAACAAGACGAATAAACTTCAACACTTTTCTTTAATTTACATCGCTTTTAACTTTCCCAATCTTTGAAAACTTCCGTTATTTTGCGATAATTTTACATTAACAGGATCACAACAGACCCGTGGAGTAGGCCTACTGAGAAAGCCACGTTAAAAAAACGTGCTAAGTACCCTACCTCATAGGTGGCGTGGAAAGGTGTGCAAATTATGACAATAACAACTTTTATAACTTTTTGAATCGTTATATCTCAGAAACGAAGGCTCGTAAGAAAAAAGTGTTGACACCTTTTTTTTAGATAATTTTATAAATTACAATTTTTGTCTGGGGTAGTTTTTTCATAAAACTTACAGTTTTGCTGAAAATCGAGAAAACTCATTTTTTTGACCTTTGACCTTCAATAATTTTTTTTCCTTACAGGGGAATGATGGGGAACTTTTAGACATTGTTTATAACTATGTGTTGAACAACTTCACAGAAATTCAGCTTGTTGGGACTTTATGTAACTTCGAATGTCTAAATTGACCGGACTATGTCAAGCAAATTGTTAGATTTCTTATATAAACATAAAATACTTTTATTACACAATAATTTTAGTGCAATATTTATATAGAAAAATTTACTTTAGTTCCCTTTTTACTATATTGACTTTATAATTAATTTGTGCCAAGCTGGCATAAATTTGTGTATCGTATTTTATTTATATCCTATTCTTTGTATTAAAATTCATTGTCAATACTTTATTAAAATTAATTTTATTAGCTACCATAAATAAACTTAATAAACTAGTGCGCCTTACCATCAACGATTGCATCACTGCTTACCAACATGTGGGATCGCAGTCAAGCTTTCGTTTTTTGCAAGTAAAAAAAAAATAACATTTAGGTTTCGTTTTTTTTACGTAGGTTCAATTCTAGGATTTTCTCCTGTGTTGTGGGTGCGTTTACAAACATACAATTTCACAAACACATCACACCCAGACCCGGAACAACAATTAGTGGATCACACAAAGTTGTTCCGTGCGGAAATCGCCAGCCACCGCGCCAACCGTGCACTTAACCGATTGTAAACATTTTTACATACAATTTTTAGAAAACTTTTAGATAAAAGATATGCCAGGATTGTTTATATTTAGTATTATCTAAATCGATAGACCGGAGTTATTGCCTAAATTTTTTTCTCATATTTTTCCCAAAAGTAGGTAACAAAAAATGTTATTAAGTAATTCCAAAATTGTGATTTATTTGTTTAGTTTTATTAGCCAATATTTTACTATTACTATAAGTTTAATAAAAATACTGATAATTTTTAAGTTAATATCCATTGGTTTTCCGTTTTTCAGTACATATGCAGGTACGAAAATAAAATTTGATTCAGTACAAATACAGTACCCATTTTTCCTTTAATAAAAAACGTTGCCCCACTCTAGGAACTAAGATTTTCTCCCGTCGCGTCGTGGGTGCTTTTAAAAATATACAATTTCACATACACATCACACACAGACCCGGAACAACAATTTAGGGATCTTTATATTAATCAGCCTTTTAAAATACTTGTAAATAAAAGCATACTTCTTGACTGCCGTTTTCGCTATGTTAGTATGTAAAACATATATTAATTCGTTTTTTAACCAAATATAATCGTACTTGTTATATCTTAGTACATAAGGTTCGATGTAAATATGTATTAGGAATATATAAGTGTATGTTATTACTAACTAAAAAGACATGACAATCTGTTTGGCGAAATATTCCACGTTACCGTGCAGAAAATCTAAAATCTATAGAAGAAAAAAACAGTAGATATTCTAAGTAAAAGTCCAGATCAATTTTTTTTTCGAATTATGTAAAATTGTTATACTTTGCAATTTACCCTGATTTTAGTAAGTTACACTTTTATACTTTGACTTTTACCCTTCTATGGTAAAAGTTGTTATGAGGTATGGTAAAAGTTAAAGTAAGGTAAACTCGAAAGTATTTCGCCTAGCTCATATCATAATGTATGAAGCACAATTCATGTAAATCGATTAAATATTATAATTAATAATATGTTTAATAGTGAGAACTGATGTAAAGACAATTATTCTTGTACATTGAATACCAGTTGTCAGTAATGTAAAATATATATAATGTATAAAAACAAAAGTATTTTTTATTTAATTTTTTTTTTAAAGTAGAAATACATATATGCTTTTCTGGAGGGTGCGACGAATGCTTCGGCGATACCCGCCCCTCCTACACATGGGTAAATGGAGGTACACCGAGTTGATTTTTAGTCAGTAAGAGTCTGACAGTACCCTTCAAGCTTCCCCGAGGGCGGTGGGAGTTCAGAGCATTTTCAAACCCGACAAAAAATATCGATAAATAATGTAAGTACCCTAAATAAATTACCTTAATTTTTTGTGTATTGTTAATTTTTGCGAATACTGTGTATCATTGTAGAAACACTGTAACCATATTTTGTTCTAAATATTGTGACGATAGTTTGGCCCCATATTTAGTTTGATTGTTTCGATAAATAAATAAATGAAGTGAATGTAGGAGTGTAAGATTTATGAATGTTGTTAAAGTCATTACAAAGGAGAAACATTCAAATATCGAGTACTTAACGTTTATTGGAAAATAAAACATAAATGATAAAAACACTTCACAGTCTCCTTTTTTTAAGTAATAGGTCGGCTATCGAACAGGCAGATTACCTGATGGTAAGCAATCAGCATCGCAACCTTGAGTTACGAGTGCGTTGCCGACCTTTTGGGGATTAGGGATTGGGAGAGACGATAGTTGGGCTCCGGTAACCTTACTGTGGTTGTTTCACGCCGGTTTTCTGCGAGGCCGTGGTATCACTCCGGTCGAGCCGACCCATTCGTGCCGAAGCATGGCTCTCCCACACTTCCTTTTCATGCCTAATTACAATCACTTTTTGCCCTTAACCTTCCCTTTAGATTTGGCGGTATCAGGGGCAGCCTCTGGCTCAGGTGCGGGGGGAGGTGCTGGCCAGTATTTGTTGAAAAACTCCTCAGTAGCAGCGAAGGATAGTGGCAAGATTGAGCTTTTGAGAGCCCACATCTCTTTGTCACGCTCTTCTTGTTCTTCTAGTAATTTCTCTTCTCTCGCTTTCAGCTGGAAGGTTGGAAAATATTTATTTAATTTAACTCTATCATTCGTAACAAAGCATTTAGTGACATCAAAATGTCTCTTTACTGATTATAAAGAGGTATTTTGTAATTTGTAAGTTTGTATGTAGGGGGTAATCTTTGGAACCGGTGGTCGAATTTCGAACATTCTTCCACTGACTGATAGCTACAATAGAGGTAAAATTTGTAAGTTTGTATGTAGGGGTACATACAAACTTACAAATTTTACCTCTTTTTAATATTAGTATAGATAATTCTGCTGTACGTGTGTAGGTAGGTCATTAAACCCCTCATAAACGCCTTGACCGATATAAATGACTTTATCTGTAGATATGCGTTAAAAGTGGCGCCCTGGATGGTTTAGATTCACAAATCAGCCCGGCAGATGGCGCTGATTGCTTGAAAAGACATGTGATCTCGGAAACGGCCCTAACGATTTCGCTGTTTGATATGTGGGTCAGGGTCTGCTAGTAATATATACAATAATATGTATGTAGTTACCTCCATTAAAGCCAAATATTCTTCCGTATCATCTTTCTTCTTCCCTTTAACGACCTTAGCGTCCTTTTTAGGGGACTTTTCGGGTTTTTTAGCTTTGACCTTCATTGGTGCGTACAACCGCTTTGGTATTTGAATCTGATGAGGCCCGTCTATCTGCGCATAGTCCGGTGTAAAAGTGAACACAGATCGCACTAAGTTGTATTGGTAATCTGTGCTGAAACTAAAATTTAAAATGAGTATTAGGTAAATTGGTAGACTGATGATAATCTGCAGGGTGGCTGGCAGTGGTTGGATGAGAAGAGCTGAACATCAAGCTCAGTGGCATGCAAATAAGAAGGCCTATGTCTAGCAGTGGACGACACCAGGCTGATGATGATGATGATTAAGTTGGACTGCCCTCTTTAGTTGGAGGAATGAGCATTTTGGACCTTTATTATTAGCCTACATATAAGTGCCCACTGCTAAACAAAGGCTTCTTCACATACGGATAAGGTTTGATCATTAATCACCACGTTCGCTCAAGACTGATTGACGACTTAAAACTAGAAATTATAAGTTTAGTTTTCTTCACCACAATGTTTTCCTTGAGCGTATGTTAGTGGTGCCTGGGTACATCCAAACAGTCACAAATGCTCATTCCTTTTCCTTTTGAGAAGAGGCCTTGGTTCAGCAGTGAGCACTTATAAGCTAGTGATGATGATGATACTGCAATAAATTCCTTTTCTTTTTTTCTTTTGTTTTAAAGACTGACACTATATCTTCAAAATTTTGTTTGACTTTCAAAAGTGCCTGTACCGTGAATTTTTGACTTTTGTAACTCCTCTGTTGTTGCGGATGTCGTGGCGCTAATTGCTTTCCATCAGGCAATGCGCTTACGAGTTTGCCTCACTATACAATAAAATTAAGGATCAAAATCCTATGGCAAAAAACTTACAGATCAAAGATATAGTGAATGATCTTGACTAGATCCAGCATGCAGCATTCAAAGGTACTTCCAGCGAAGTGGACGAAATGTTTGGAATCCGGCTTCAGAGAGCTTTGTGTGTCTTTTAATTCGTCTTCTGGGGATTTGTAACTAATCCCCGCATCGTAAGGGGTGGGGATGCGATCGTTCTCTGCAATGAATCTCGCTGCTGCTAACATATTTTCCTGCGAAAGAATTAGTTTTTGGTACATAAGTCAAGTAAAGCATAGGTACTCATTTTTTCTTCTACTAGTAGCTTTCCTCGGGTGCTATTTTCCAAAGTTCAATGGTGAATGTATTAAGTTTTTGTTTATACAAACTTTATCCTATCGATAATAAACACTACAAAAAAAACCTGGAGTCACTTGAGATAGTTATGTGAGTTTTGGTGGTCTATTTCTATTAGTACTTATAGAAGTTATAAATGTATGTTATGGCACATGAAGATGGGTCATCTTGAATTAAATAAAGAGATAAGAAACAATTCGCGATCTTACCTAGAATCCTGTAAAAAATCTAGAAATCCTTCCCCTCCACCATCCCCTCCCCACTCCTTAAATATCCCTAATCCCCAAAAGGTCGGCAACGCACAACTACCTACTTTATTGTGGCTGTCCACGGGTAGCGCCCATTGCTTACAGGTAATCAGTCTGTTCGTTTACCGACTTATTCGCTAAGAAAATGTAATTCATATTCCAGTTAAAATTATGTGTACTGTTTTATAAATTACTGACCTTACCTGAAACCTCTTCATCATTCGTTTCCTGTCTGCCGCGTCGAAGTATTGCATCTCCTTCATCCACTCGCAGAACCATATCATCAAAATTGCTTGAGTTGCTGCAATCAATCAGACCTTGGAGTAAAATTGCGTCATCATTACCAGAATATATTAGTTGACTGCACTGAAGATGCAATGGCTGGGTCACCTCTGGATAGCAGAGCAGTCTCTGCTTTACAAGGAAAGCAAGGTGTTGTGGATATCCATGGGCAGCGCCTTTTGCTTACCATCAGGTAATCCGTCTGCTCGTTTGCCACTCTTTTTATGTTGAAGTAGCTCTCCTACACTTGAAGCATGGCTCTCCCACACTTGATATATTCGGTTTAGTGTGTGAAGGTAGTTGTCGAATTTTCGACCACCTTTTATTGGTATCATATACATATATATCTGCTAAGTCACTCACGTCTATCCATCTCATCCTCCTGCGCCCTCCTCAGCAGATTGGCCAGAGTATCAAGGAACCAGAATTCAGCCAGACTGTTCTTATACCTCTTGCAGCCGAGGAGTTCTCCCAACACATCGATACACTTCTGCTGTGGTGTCGAGTTTATTTTGGGTATTGCTTGAGGGTCTATGTTGGTTTTCAGGCCTTCGGGGAGGACGTGGATTCTGTAATAATGTAGAATATTTTTTGAATACTTTAGTGTCAATCATCTCCGGTAAAGGGACAGGTAAAATTATCTTATATCTTATCTTATTAATATTATAAATGCGAAAGTGACGATGTTTGGATGTTTGTTAATCAATCACGCCAAAACGGCTAGACGGATCTGGATGAAATTTGGCACAGGCATTGGGTACTCTCCGGAATAGGATATAGGCTACCTTTTATCAACATACCACGCAGGCGAAGCCGCGTGCGGAAGCTAGTCATGGATAATTTTGAATGAGGATGGTTTCAATTTTTTTTAATTCTTTTTGGAGAATGCGGCAAAAGAGAAGACGGTTTTACTTAATTACCTGATGGTTAGCAATCGGCGCTATACATATATGCATGAGCACGGTTATGCAGGTTTGTTAATAAGCGATTGTTAAAAAGGACTAAAAAGAATTTCCAATCTTTTAAATGTTTTTCTTTCAACTCCTCAGAGCTTAGAGAATTTAGGTAACACATAAAACATATCACTATGTAAACATGTGTACCTAAACTGTACCAAGTAAGTATACCTGTTTTGCTTTTCAAGAGCCCTAATTTTGTCAGGCAAGGGCAACCGCAGGGAGGGAGAAGGGAATATCTCTGGTAGGGACTCCGGAACCTCTTCCTCCACCACCACTTTATTTTCTTCCTCTTGTGGAGTCTCGAGACCTATTGGGGTTGTTTCCTCCACACGACCTGTGGACTCCAGCTCGTTATAATATGTATTATAATAACTATTTCACTCAAAAATATTTTGTTAATTAAAGCCTGCAAAGGTTATGACGCCAACTTCTCATACATGAATGTGCAGGTACGAAACCTTGCAAGTGCCAATGTGATTTTTTTCCGAGTTATTATGTAGGTACTTTCTATGAATATTTAGTCACCACAGATTCTTTTTGTTAGGGGAATATCATCAAATGACTTCTTCCACCCGGGCGGGGAGGAGTGTCAGACTCTTACTGACTAAAACCCGCCCCCGTTAACTTCCTGTTCTGAGCCTCATTGCCCTGACGGGTTTTCCTTCACCGCATGTCTGTGGTGACCCACCAGGAAAAGATCGTGACGAAAAAAATATTTATAATTTTTAATGACAAGTTCGTTATTGTCATTTGGACTTGAGCAAGCGTGGTTATTTACGCTCAAACGTTCTCCGTGTAAAAAAAGAGGCTTGTTCTCAGTAGCAGTAGGAGTGGGCACTTAGCGGCTGATGATGGAAAACCTGCAGTTTCGAATGCAGCATGAAATCTGGGATATGCCCATTGTAAAGAAATACATGTCTATTTCTATAATCGCCCTATGATATTGGCTTCCTAACCTTGTAACAAAGAAATGCATTGATTGTAACCATGGAATTTCTTGCTCGTTCTTCTCCATAGGAATCTACACTTTGGAACGAGCAAATAGCTTCTTAGACTGACACGCCTTAAGTTACCTCTTGATTTTTTTTTACTTGGCCTTGAAAAGTGCCTGTTGTGGTCTACTTGAAATAAATGATTTGACTGATCTGATTTAACAGTGACAACTTTGGTACCCCTTTTATGGATTAACAGAAGTGACTTACCACCTTCTTCAGCAGCCTCAGAACTGGTGAATGATTCTGGAGACTGCACAAATGACCTGAAGCATTCCAACCCTGATTCTGAAAGCAGCTTGTTTAGAATCGCTTGATGAATGTCCTCGACCTTCCGAGATGTCATTTTTGAAGAGTTCTTACGCTATTTTTTTATTGGTTTACCGTTTATGGGGTTTGCATTAATTGAGGATCAGCTTTTAAATAAAATATTGTATTCAACGACTTGCTAGCGTAGGTTTCTGGATAGATAACTTTAATAGTTTCAAGCCACGATATCTTTATTATTTATATTATTTTATTCAATATTAATAAGTTTTGAAAAAGATTGGACACTTTCAATATTTAATATTATTGGGATGTTGATGTTATCGATAACGTCAACGTCACTTTTCGAGTTTAGATTTTGAGTTGTGTAATTGTGTTTTAAAACCTGTTTGGTTGCTTATTTAGAGTATATCTACAAAGTACTTAAACTTTATGGTGTTCTGTTTCACATAATCTATACCCACCACGAGTTACTACATAAGGGAGAATGCCAGATTTCAGATCACAACATATTTAATAATTTACTGTGCAGTAAATTGGCGATTGGCGCAGTGGCTGGACAATTGGCTGTCACGCAATTGTCGCGGTTTCGATTCTCGTACGGAACAACTCTTTGTGTGATTTACAAATAGATAGTTGTTCCGGGTCTGGGTGTGATGTGTATATGAAGTTGTATGTTTATAAACGCACCCACAACATTAGAGAAAAACCTAGAGTAGAGCAACGCTCGCTTCTAAAAAAAAGAATAACTTTTATAGATGACAACGTCATGATAATACCAAAGGAGTTACTATAAGTGCGTTGCGGGCCTCATGTGGGTTGTTAGGGATTTACGGATAGGCGGATTGAGGATTGAGGATTTTGGAGAAGAATTAGGCAGGCAAACTCACTCACACGGCGAAACAGAACGTAAGTGTCGAGCCGACCCATTCTTGCCAAAGTTTGTACCAAATGTTCATTATATTCATAGACCTGAACGATAATCAATCAATATCTGACCTCGTTTATCGTACCTTGGCTCCTAATATCTTTCAGCTAAGAGCTAACATGCCATTAAATTTGGGTGATCGCTTCAGCGCTTCAAATTAATGAATCGCTGACTAGCTATGGGTACATGGATTAGGCAAGGTATTCGTCCGGAAATTTGATGCTAGACGGTTGCTGTAAACTGCTGTGTTGTTTAGTAATTTTAATAAGAATTGAGAATGCAATTAAACTATAGTGGAACTACAAAAACGCTGACATGTCGTGAGAGTCTATATATGTATTAAAAGAGACCTAAGTTCAGGTATCTACGTTCGAATCTCGAATCCCCTATAATCTTCGTTTGAATCTCATCTAACTTCTCATATACAAGTTAGCCTCGAAGAAGCTTATTGTGCTCAATAGATCGAGGCAGTATTTCACCCCGGGGCATCGCCTGCTACTTTCAAGGCGCAAGTTTGGCCCCATATGGAATACTGTTCTCATCTTTGGGCGAGGGCACCCCAGTACCAGCTTCTCCCTCTGGACCGCATTCAACGACGAGCTGTCCGAATTGTCGACTGCCCTGTTGTCTCGGACCGGCTAGACTCTTTAGCATTGCGTAGGGATGTAGCCTCGCTGTGGATTCTCTATCGCATCACGGGGAGTATTCCCCGCCGCATCTTTTCGCCATCGTTCTACGCGAAAGCATTTTCATTCCCATCACATAGATGGTTGGCAGTCAACAACTGTGCGATACACGAGAAACTTTGTGCCCCGCACAGCAAAGCTTTGGAATGATCTTTCGGTGGCGGTATTCCCGAACCGATGCGACCTTTAAACCTTGAAGGAACAAACGTACTCCAAAGGCCGGCAAAGCACCTGTGACTCCTCTGGTGTTGCAGGTGTCCATGGGCGGCGCCGATCGCTTACCATCAGGTGATCAGCCTGCTAGTTTGCCTCCTATTCCATAAAAAAAATTGGTCGTGTAACAAAATTCTGAATATTCCATTACATTTAGGAACAAACAGATGGTTGCCTAGGTTACCAATAAATTATCTTGCATTTTCAATTCACTGAAATATTAATATTTACAATAATTTATAAGATTTGACGATATAATTTTTTATTTATTTAAATTAACTTACAAAATACCTTATTGTAAGTATTAAAACCCCTCATATCATAAAAGAATCAGCATAATTAATCTACAAAAACAAAGCAATTTAAAATTAAAAAACATTCCTTAACAACCACTATAAACTTTAAACGAAATGAAAAACTATTCGAAAACTAGACTCACATCAAAAGATATGTTGAATTCATTAAAATTACTTCACACGTGAACGGATCCCGGTATAATTGGAGGAGCTGCCGAATTAAGGGGCATGGGTTACGCCAAATATCGGCTGTAAGTTAAAAGTAGTAGCGATTTATAACATACTACTTAATCTATTACAAATATTATAAAGAGGTAATTTTTTTAAGTTTCATTTATTGATAGCTACAATGTTCCTGAGTGCTATAGGTTACAAAACATCACGGTACAATCAAATGGAGCCGAGCAGCGAGTGAAACCGCGGGCTAGCTAGTCTATACTAAGTAATATTATAAAGAGGTAAAATTTGTAAGTTTGTATGTAGGGAGTAATGTTTAGAACCGCTGGTCGGATTGTCGAAATTCTTTCACTAATAGATAGCTACAATGTTTCTGAGTGCTATGTAGGCTATAAAACATCACACTACGATTAAATGGAGCCGAGCAGCTGCGGGTGAAACCGCGCGAGTAGCTATTGTTAGATAAGTATTGTCACAATTTCTAAAGTTGAATTTCAAATAGGTAGTTATTTTATAAATGAGTGGTGTGAACTTTTTTTGAGGATTGTGATGCAAACGAGCAAACGATCACCTGATGGTAGGGGATCCGCATCCCCGAGCCGATGGCAAATAATCAAATTAAATACTTTCTTGGAATCGTCAAAATCGACAGCTTTTTGTTTGATTTTGTGTGTGTTTAGATATTCTTTTATGGAATAGGAGGCAAACGAGCAAAGGGATCACGTTATGGTTAGTGATCAGCGCCACCTATGGACATCTGCTGCACTAAAGGAGTCACAGGCGCGTTGCCGGCCTTCAAAGAAGTTTCTTGAAGGTTTGAAGGTCGTATCAGTTTGGTAATAAAACCACTGGAAGATCATTCGGAGTAAATACATAGTTTTATAGTTACCTGCATAGTTTTCCAGACATGATGTCTAGGTATTCGGAATCAAATGTCTTACTTATTTCTTAGGAATTATCTTTAAATAGTTAGGTTAATTGATACAACACACCCAATTAAAGGTAATAATCAATAATAATGTAAGAGTATTTTATTTGACTACCGCACGCTCATTATATTGCAAATTGTAAAACTGAATGATAACTGTATCTATACATTTTTTGCATTTACTTCTCTGAAAAGTAGAAATTATTTATTATTAACCAACACATTAATGCCCGGTTTCTGAAAGTCCGATCAATGTTAAAATCATTTTAATCTCTTGTCAAGTCATCTGATTGGTTGTTGATAATTCAGCCAACCAGATGACTTGACAAGAGATTAAATTGATTTTAACATTGATCGGCCTTTCGAAAGCCGGGTGTGAGTTAGGCAACCTAACATTGAAAAACTCGTAGCTCGTAGTCTATAAAAACAATATTAGTAAAATCGCTACTCTCTCCTGTCTCACGCCGCTACTCACAATCGTAAACCCGAGACTAGTGCCGTCAACTTCTAATTACTTGTACACTACACAGCGACATTCATACTAGTGTTTATATTATTTAAACCACTAAGAAACAGAAGAAAGAAAGTTAATTATCTTCTTTTTTATATTATGGCAAACGAGCAGATGGATTACCTGATGGTAAGCAATCGGCGCCACCCATGGACCATGGACACACACTAAAGAATTTAGGAGTGCGTTGCCAGCCTAGTGGAGATTAGGTTTTTTTTATGTAAAACACCGGCAAACGAGCAGACGATTTACCTGATGGTAAGCAATCAGCGCCGCCCATGGACACCCGCAACGAAGGAGTTACGAGTGCATTGCCGACCTCATAGGGATTAGTGTGTTGGAGATTAAGGGATTGGGGAGGGATCGGGCCTCCGGTAACCTCACTCACACAACGGTGTGGTTTTTTCACGCCGGTTTTCTGTGAGGCAGTGGTATCACTCCGCTCGAGCTGACCCATTCGTGCCGAAGCATGGCTCTCCCACACTTATGGGGTTCGGGAAGGAGAAGACGATACACACACAACACTGTAATTGTTTCACGCCGGGTTTCTGTGAAGCCGTGGTATCACTCCGTTCGAGTTCCGCGTAGCATGGCTCATATTCATATATTTTGTTTAACTGTTTAATAATAATAAACAATCGAAACATCTTGACTTAGCTCACGAGGTTGTCGACATGTGGAATGTGGACTCGGCTATCGTTGTGCCGATAGATGTGTCGGCAAATGGGTTAGTGCCCAAAAGCCTCGACAACCACCTTAAGAGGCTGAAGTTAGGCGGATGGATCAAGGGCCTCATACAGAAGGCAGTCCTCCTTGAAACGGCACGTATTGTGAGGAAGTTCCTGGCTCTGGAGCCCTAACCGCCGGTAGCTTGGACCTTGCTCCCACTGCCGGCTGGCTCCTACTTATATATTTTTAAATAATATTTTATAGTAATATTTAAAAATGTAATTTTAGAGTGACTTTAATAAATATATGTAAGTATAAATATTGAGATGAAATTTATACCAACATAAAAGTAATAAAATTAGAATAATGAGACAATGGTGTGACGGAAGCTACGCTGCGCCGGACGGACGGACGGACATCACGAGTAAACTGATACATTAATAGGGGGAGACCTCAATTGAGTTTACCCGATTGTAATATTGTGAGGTTATGAGTTTTTCTGCACGGTTGGTGCGGTGGCTGGGCAAGTGGCTGCCGCGCAACGTGTCGCGTTTTCGATTCCCGCACGGAACAACACTTTGTGTGATCCACAAATTGTTGTTTCGGGTCTGGGTGTCATGTGTATGTGACATTGTATGTTTGTAAACGCACCCACAACACAGGAGAAAATC